TGAATTAAAAACTAGCCCACAAGAGGTTAAGCAGTATAGCAAAGTCCATAGGGATTATGTGCTCTCAGCAACTAATTCAAAACAAAATGAATTCATGACGTACTGTGTTCCATTACTTAATGTTTATTTATAATGCTATATATACACACATAAGCAAAAACATGCAACTGGACGCATTTTATAATGCCTGTTTCTTCATTAAGATTTTATCATCCACCTCGTCTAAAAAGCCTCTGCCTTCACTTTGTTAAATCTGCTTTTACTCAGTGCTGTTTCTGCATTATTTTAATGTTTGCTTCCCTACTTTACATGCACTCTCAAATTTTAAACAAGTAAAATTTGTGCATTAGCTTACCCCTTTTCATTTATGATTTATGACTGACAGGTTCCTTGCAGCAAGTTAATGGTATGAGAGAGACATTATTTTAAACATTAAAGTGAAAACCATTTACAAGTATGATAAGAAAGGTCTGTTTACATTAATCTTTAAAATAGCCAGAAGGTGCTGCATAAGCTGCTGCTGTACCAACAGGTGGTACTCAGGGGACAATATTAAGAAAAAATATATATAATAACTTTTTGTAAAGATTATTTTACATTTGATTTTATGGTTTTGAATCTGCAATGTTCTTGTTTGTAGAAGAACACCAGATACCAGATTTATGCCGGTACATAAATTAACCAAAAGGACTATGCCTTCCCTGCCCCAATCATCTTGCAGTATTTTATTTTGGTTGTCCATTCAAGAGATAAGAATTTATTTATAACCAAACAACATATTGTTAGTCTGTTTGTCGATTAGATCTAAAATTACAGAGTCTCACAGGCCAGTGTACTCCTAGAAGATAGCTGATTAAACAATGCTCATATTGATAATGACTTAGCTGCTCATAGAAACTCAATTATGAATGAACTCATGTAAACCACAATTAATTGTAGTGTCACTCCAGGTGAAATGTGGAAATATAATTATTTAGTTAACAGGTGAGGAATAGTTCATGTGTGTTCATGTTGGGGAGGAGACTGCCCAATTTGCTATAAAGAGAAGTCAGCCACCTTTATATTTTTCTTTAAAAATAGAAAACACTTTAAAATATTATTAGCTCTATGCTTTGCTTATTAGTATTGTAAAAATAGTCCCCTTCCTAGCTAAACAATATCTTACACCAGGAAATGTAGGTAGACACACTTTAATAGTTATTAAACAGAACATATGCAGTGTATGCATAAATAATATTTGTAATAATAATAATATGTGCATAGTGCAAAACTCATAGTGCAAAACTCAAACCTATAGTGCATCAACTCAAGACTTGACCAGCGGCTCACAGCACTTTATGAACCCAAACCTGCTGGCCACAGGTAATGCCTAGGGGAAATATGCATTTCAGTTTCTCCTCTTGAGCGGTATAAAGAGACATTGTAACTCTCTCTGGGATAAAATAAATAAAGGGCTTATTTATAAATCTTCTGCCCTGTGTATAGCTGGGTAAGTGCCACTTGCAGTTCACTACCACAACTAGATAGAGCCGAGGAGCATAGAAAAAAGTGGCGGTGATGCCATGCCAATGGAAGATTTATCGATCAACCCATTAGGATCACTTTGTATCAGTGCACCTGGGAGGGGAGGTGATTTGTAACACTTTCGGTCGGAGCATCCCCTCATCCAAGCCCGCCTCTTAGTCTTATATCAGTGGTGTCACAAGGGGCGGGTGAGGGGGTGCGGCCCACATCAGGTGACACCATCACCCCCATTGAAAACAGCTGTACATGAGAGGAGGGGACCCAGTGGCATACCTTATCCTGCTGGATAAACATTCCCTCCTCTCTCTCCCAGTGTCCATCACTGAGATGGTCACCGGCAGTTAACTGCACGTGATGTCATTCCACACATGCATAATGATGTCGCACATGTGTGATGACATCATGCATGCCTGTGATGATGTCACATGCGTGCGTGATGATGTCCCAGTGGGTGACACCTGGAGGCTGCTTCAGGTGACACGCTGCCTGGGGACCCTGTTCTGATCCAGCAATATATCACTGACTAGATCACACAGCAACTTGTCTAAAATCTTCTCATCCAGACCTGTGTTCTACAATCCCATTAATTTTCAGCTCATGCTTGGAAGTCCATAGAATTAATAGAGACTGCAGAGCACATTCATGAGCCAGTCTAGGAAGATTTTTGACAAGTGAGCAGGTGATCTGGTGAGCGATCTCTCGCAAGATTGTTGACAGGTTAGTATAAAACTGTGAGGGAGGCTGGTGGCAGGGGATGCTCTAATATAAGTTTGCAGTTACACGTTAACTCCTAGAGTTTCAGATTCTGCCACCAGAATAAATGTAGAAAGCACTTGCATCATCTCTCACAGCCTACCTGCTCAGAAGTTTTTCCCTGCAATGCTAACAGGTCCCAAGATTAAAAAAAAAGTTGTTTGAGAAGACTGTAAAAACAACTAAGACACAAACTGCACAAGATTACACAAGAGAACAAAAGTATTTCTACAAAAAGCATATGATAACTTCTGAACTTGAGTTCAGTTCATATAGTCATCTGCCTTGTATTCAACACCTGAATAACTAGCTTCAGCTTTGTTTACCTGATCATGATAAAAAGGATTTCTACTTCCAGTTTGTAAAGCAAGGTAGAGCTAAACCTTGATCGTTGATTACCTCTTGCTTCTACCCTGCATTACTCTATATTGTATGATAACAGGTATTTATGTATTACGCATCCTTTTAGGTAAAACTTACTTTGTACAGCATTATGAGAGACAATAGCGTAATAAATTCTACCTAAACCCAAGCACATAACTGAAATATATTTAAGCTTACCAGTCTTTAGAGGTGGTGGCTACATTAGTTGTATTCTTAACCTGTGATTGAAATTTACATTCTCTGCAGTAGTTATTGGCTTGAGATCCCAGGTGATGTCATTGATCAAATTTGATAATAACCATATTTGGCCATTGACATCACCCAGGTTTCCTGGCATGTTTGTTTACATTCAGGAGCTGGCCAGGCACTGACATTTGGGATAGAGTAAGAGGGTCGTTGAGAAGTTGCTCATAGTGATTGATGTTAGATTTACATTGCTAGGCAACTTGATTAAGACTTTTCTTTACTTTTAGTACAGGACTTTTTCTACAGTGTTTGTGTTTTTTTGCTAACATTTTTGGTACTCATTCATCTATGTAGGAGGCCCCCTTATTTTAAAGTGGACTTCAAGATTCCAATATCCCCCCCCCCCC